ACAGCTAGAGTATCACTTGGTTGTTGAGACATCGCGTGCAAGAGTCATGTAATGGGGGAAGTTGATGGGGTCTTGGCACCGTGAGCCACTCGCTAGTTATACTGAGCCACTCGCTATACAGATACGTTAGCTACATTTAACCGCCTCTTCAAACTTGAAATCGTCCTTTGAACCTTCGACAAAGGGATCAAAACGGAAAGACTGGATAGAGTTCCGCACTTCGTCCGTAGTCCCACAAGATTTATGTGTCTGCTTATCACCCATATTCACATAGTTGACGTGTCCTTCTTCCTGTGCGTCTTATAGGTAGATCTGATATGCTTCATGGCACTGTGGACAGAGAAATCCTGGCTCCCTCCGGGCAGTCATGTTGGTAGTTTTACAGTTTGAAGCACACTTCGAGGGTGCGTCCAGGTTGAAGGAGGTGACCTGGACGATGTGCCACGGATGAACTTGCGAACTGGCGTTTCCGCACAGGGCTGGATTTGCTTTTTGGTGAGATTAGGAAAAATATTGAAGTTTTAAGTCAAGGTTGAAGAGTCAAATTTGATGGGAAGACTGACTTACCGAATTTACAAATAGGTGCTACACAGAAGATTGGGTATTCATAACCTATGCGTTACATTGATACAAATAGTGAAGACTATACTACACTCGATTCACATAGAGAAGAGATAGAACAATGAAATTTTGATACCCTGTTTTCTTAAAAATGTCTCTTACATCTTACATTGGCGGCGGATTCAGGTCAAGACCCTCGACACTGAGTTTGAAGCTATCCATGCGCGAATAGCTTCCCGCAGAGTCAAAATCAAGTCTGCCTCGTTCACAATCTTCAAAATCAACTTCTGTGACAAGGAGCTCATCTTCCTTTTCCCAAATTGGTCCAGCTAGCACCTCACCAAGAGGCGATACGACCATTGAGCCACCACGAGAGACAAACTCTTCACCGTCTGCGGACCATGACCGAAGTTGCGAGAAAGGCTGCGGCTTGATACTGGAGGTTTCTTCTATGGAGTCGATAGCTGATGAGTCGCCGTTAGTCGCTGCATCTTGTCCCTTGGGAAGTGGTAAGCAGATCTCATGGCCGTCCTCTGTCCTGGTAATGGTGCTTCGCCGGCGCGCAGCACCACCACTTTGTTGCAGGATCGTTCTACCGACTCCGCTGCTACTTGCGATACTCGGTGAGCGGGCTGTTTCATTTTTTGATCCGCCTGTTATCCATTCTGGAAGATGCTTCTTCTTGACGCACTGATTTGCACTGAGAACAAAGCAACGACCCTCGCACCCAACCGTCCGCATCAACGCAGCCCAAGTGTCGCGCGCATCTGCTGTCGGCGCAAACCAAAGATTGACGTTCTGGCTGTATAGACTCTGCCTCAGCAATGGCATGTAGTTTTCCCAGCAAATCGCCGAACCCATGCACAGCTTCACGCCCTTGATCTCAGTCGTTACTGCCCTTAGCGTACTCGCACTGCCCATCCCCCATACCAAGCGCTCACTGCCTGTCGGCATCACCTTCCGCCTCTTACCCAAAACACCTCTCTTTGGATCTACGAAAACGGATCCGCAATACAGTGTTCCTCCAGATTTCTCTACCAGTCCTGTTACGATAAACACACCCGTTTCCTTGGCGATCCTCTCCAGCTCTTCTCTCGTGCCATCACCTCTATACTCCTTTCCCTTTGGTAATTCAAGCTTCCGGTCAATCCATTCTTCGCCTGCGCCACTTGGAGTGTCTCCTAGATCGACAGCATCGTGGAAATAATGCAGGAATTGCTCGCGACCTTCGGGCGCACGTGCGCCGACCGCAGCACCGAACGAGCAAGTGCGAGGGTATCCGCCCAAGTACGCTTCCGGAAACAAGAGGATATCTATTCCCTGAGATGCAGCGCGTTTGGTGGTATTTTCAAGGGCTGAGAGTGTCTGGGCTGTTGTAGAGAGGGTGCGAGATTGCGCGGCTGCGATCTTGAGAATCTGCGGCATCGTGCTTCTTCGGGATTGAAGCGAAGCGAGAAGTATAATTAAAGGTGGCCCGACGACGTGGTTAGATCTCAGGCAATACGATCCAAAGGATCATTTATATAAGATTGAGCCTGTGACGCATAATGGCATGATCGGGGGAAAAATCTGTTGGTATGCCTACCCCACTGTCGTACTACTTACGATTCATTACCCCGCGCCTCGGACAGTAACGGTAGGCCACGGCATCTTGGCCAACGTCGTACGCACTGGTTGGTCTGAAGCTAGTAAAGTCAGTCATTGCTGTATAGTACTGTAGGAACTCAAGTCGCAGATATCCGGAAATGCACAAAAGGGTATGGACTAAGCAGGGATGCAGTGGAGCTACTCGGCCTGCGGACTTCAACTCCACTACTACGTCACAGCATAGATGGGATAGCACTAGCGGAGAATTTCTTACTTTCAACGACCATTCTACATGTGACGCATCAACAATATCGCAATATCAATCCAAGTCAACAACGCGCCTGGTCCAAACATAAAAAAATTCAAATCAATCCGGAGCACAAAATACCCGCCATGGCATCCGGCACTGACCTCGCGACTCATCTTCAAAACCTTATACCAGACTCGCACGCACAGCTCCGCGATTCTGTTCTACCATCACTCTTGAAGTCAGTGCACACCATAGCCGGCCATCTACGCACCTCGCCCAGCGTAACCCAAGTCGGCACCGCCAATGCATTCGGCGACGATCAACTCAACGTCGACGTGCTCGCCGAGGACGCCATCCGCCAAAGCATCAAAGACTGCCCTAGCATAGTTACCGCCAGCAGCGAAGAAGACCCAATCGAGAAGTCCTCAGAAAATCCCAGTCCTAGTTCAGAAACCACCGAACAATACACACTAGCCTTCGACCCCCTCGACGGCTCCTCCATCATCGCGCCAAACTGGAGCGTAGGCACCATCCTCGGCATCTGGACCGGACCCTCAGCCCTGCACTCCCCCCCATCCACACACCAAATTGCCTCAATCCTCGGTGTACTCGGTCCCCGCACCACCGCCATCGTCGCCCTGCGCCTCCCCAACTCACCATCCACCTGCTTCGAAGTCGGATACTCCCCCTCAGGCTCTATCCAGGTAATCCGCCCAACCGTCCACCTAGCCTCCCCCTCCAGCACCAAAACCCGATACTTCGCCCCTGCCAACCTCCGCGCCGCAGCCGACGACGCAAAGTACATGAGTCTCATCACGCACTTTGTCCAGCAAAAATACACACTACGCTATAGTGGGGGCCTCGTCCCGGATATCGTTCACGCACTCGTCAAGGGTCATGGCGTATACATCTCCCCCGTAACACCCCAGAGCAAAGCTAAACTCCGCCGCCTCTACGAACTCACACCTATAGCCCTCATCGTCGAGTGTGCAGGTGGCGCGGCCCTGGATTCCGCAACGGGAAATCGCATACTCGATGTTGCAGTGCGGGATACGGATGAGAGGGGGGGTCTGGTATGTGGGAATTTGGAAGAGGTGGAGGAGGTACGCAAAGCTCTACTATGAGAATAACTCCATCTACTACACGTAATCTTGCGCGGTTCTACCCCCCCAAACTCCCCGAATGGAGATGCTGTAGTGTAGAAACTATCGATTAATCCATGATCTTCATCCCCTCTCCCTTTTCCATACCGCTGTAGATCAATTCCCTCCCACTACTAGTCCTCAACCCACGTGTCCCATCGGCCCTTCTTTTTTTCTACGCCCCGCCACTAGTTGTACAAGGTATACACGGACGAAAATTTACCCCCGCATTAGTGAGGTGATCGTCGGGTTATCGTAATATGAAACTAGGACGAGTTTCTTGGGTTGAGCACGTCTTTTTTTTTGCGCGGCTTGGAAGGTAGGGGGGTGACAGGTGACAAGTTGACAAGTTGACAGTGCCGCGTGAGGCGGTGGATCTGTGCTGAGGGATTTAGACAGCTGGTAGCTTAAGTTTAGATTTTTTTTTCTTTGTGTCTTGGGAAGGTTGTATGTGGTTTGTAGATTGATTTTGATTTTTTGTCTAACATAGTTTCCTGTCGCGTACAGTGTAAGAGAACTGTATCTAGAGTGATATATTATAGGTGATGTTTTATGCATCTGCCTTGTTTCCACATCCAAGTTTAGTATCTAAGACGACCGCCCAAAACATGTCTTCCATGCAATCGTCCCCGCTCTATGAAAATCCAAGTATTAAAAAAGGGTCCCCAGGAGCCCCTTGTGTAAAAGTCGAAAAGATTCGTCAAATTTAGGTAAGTCATACGCCGTGTGTGTGAGAGAGAGAGAGAGAGAGAAACATGCAAATGGTATCAAGCTCGAAAAATAAAATAAAAGGGAGTGTTGTACAAAAAAACAAAGAGCATCTTTTTTTCTCAAACTCAAATAGCGCGACCGGTTTCGAGATCGCCGTCGCGAGATCGGACTCCAGGGTTTCCCATGCTGCCTGGTCGGAAAGCAGCACAAACATTCCTGCAGCTCTCTGCCCATTCTATTCTATCTCGCCATGCTAGGTGGGTCGGCGGCAGTTCAGTCAATGCCTTTGTGCTCTCGAAACTCTTGTGGCTGCTGTCGTCTCGCTCCTCGATGCTGATCTGGAGTTTGTGGTTGACGTGGATGCCATCTAGCGGAATTTCACTGGATATAGCATCGCCCCCACGGATTTGCGATTTGTGTGATGAAAATTGCGAGTGTTTTGATGCGAACGCATTCGATGCCAGCTTTGATCCTACTTCGGGCGTTTTTCCGCGGCTGAGGTTTCCAGTGTATCCGTCGCGTGAGGTATATTGTGTAAGATAGCGGTTGAAGAAGACCTTTAGGGAGGGGGCCGAGGCGCATATGACGGCTAGTTGTGCTTCGAGGTTTGTCCAGATCCAGCCATAGTAGGCAATCCACGTGATATCATATGTGACTGTGTTATAAGCGTTAGCTTTCTGAACCAACCAATCAGGTTAGCAATGAGCTTACAATAGTACAGCTTTGTGGCGTAGTATGTACGCATTAGGCCACAAAAGCACGTAATCAATCCCATGCCGAAGATGCCACATAGTGCGAGCTTCTGACGCTTGCTGATCTGCAGGTTCCAGATCAAGAGGACAGGAAGCAGGCAGATGATGAAGTCCTGAACAGAGCTTATCGCTGCGCATGCCACAATGAGTGCCCCCTCATCGCGACACACCAACTCGTTCTGAATTCTCCAGGATATGTCAAAGTAACGCCAGAACCCCTCGATTGGTGTGCAGGTAAAGAGAATGGCAAAGGTGAACACAACACCGTAGATGACGCAAAATGCAATAGTAGCATATACCCCTGTTGCACATGAAATATCAGAGCGTGTTCTCATCACAATATACAGTGACTTCTACTTACAGTAGACAAACTGATGCGTGAGACGTCCCGTGATGCGGCGATAGAAGCATAGAATCGAGACTTTAATTAGTGACGTTGAGATCATGTAGAGAAGTTCAATAGCAAGAGCAATCTACAAAGTCAGCAAGTACAAAAATCGGAAATGCAGCGCACACCGACGTACCTGTCGTGAAGTGACCAAAGTCTCAGTTGTTTGGTCCCAGCTATGCCATTGATAGCCGTAAATTCGGATGCCTTTTTTTTTCGTCAGCCGACATCTTGGCACGTGAACGCGATTCTTACCAAGCACGGTTGCTATTGTCAATCCAAACAGCGGTATCATGGAGAGGCTGATGAGGATATCGTCCAGTCCAGTGTTCTTCGATATCGCGATTCGGGCCCACATGCGCGCAACGTAGACGAGAAACGTTATGCCCAGAAACACCAAGAGCACAATTGGTGCCGCCCATCCTCTTTCCTCAGGGTCCACGTAATTCGGTGTCGGCCAGTTCAACAGGACCTCTGGCGGAGGGTGAAGTCCTCCACCACGAGCGACAAGGCCGGCAGCATGGGAACTTTGGCTGTAGGCGTCCATGCTAAAGTATGCGGGCTTGGGACTGTCGGACTTTGCAGACGAGGAGAGCGAAAGGGAAGTCAAGCGTCGTTCAAAGCCACAAGCAGTGAAAGGCGGGAATGAGCATGTAGTATACGGCAGTCAGACCATGGCCGGTGTGGCCAATGACTCTCTAGCGTTATGTGGGGTTCACATCCACCGCGCACGCTAGTCCAAACGCAAGTAGATTGATCAACGGCATGTCGCGACACATTCCCTGTTCACTCGGAAACTGATCCACGTGTTGTACCCGCATGCAGAGTGCCTAGTCGATTGTTTCCACGGCTAGTTTAGTTTCGGGAGGGGGAACATGACAATTCCGGTGACCCTATCCATGGTTCTTGAAACTGGACAATACGTATTGTAAATTGTTTGTAGAGGGAGAACAAAAAAAGTCAATACTACTGCATTGATGGGATTGACTAAAGATGCGGATGAAAATTGCGAGAGAGAGCTAAGGCGGGCGGATGCATAGGATCCACTTGGGCATGCATACCTTGCTCTTAACGCTGACTGTATTCAAACGTTCTTTTCGTGGGCCTGGATGTCTTCATCTAGCAACCACACGTGGCATGCGAAACATGATGGCGTATTGGCGTTGCCAGGCTGCACATAGTCCAGGGTCCAAAACGCCCCAATACGGCATATAATCAGGCAACATGTCTTCGGTTTTGACTATTCTGAGTAGGCTTGCCGACTTTGCAACAGCTAGAACCAGAAGGGCTAGCATGCTGTCGTGCTTTCACCATGCATTCTTGTCGATCTACAGCGGCTGATGGTCGAGCAATCATTTTAGGAATTGGCCATTGCAGTTCTTGGAACGGGCTCTACCCTCAGGCCGGACAGTGGCTTCTTCGCCTAAGCCCTTATGATTCACCAGCGTATCCATTTCGAATAGTTTATGGTGTTATAGTCAATAGGTTTTTTTGTGGTTCAAGACACGGCTTCGATGTCACCCTGAGGATCCATACATGTTGCAACCGAGCCATGGGTACAGGAGGCTTGTTCAGGGATATAGCTGACAGCACGT